CACTCCAGCTGCATACCTTACAGAGCTCGACACCACACTCCAGCTGCTCACCTTTCACTCAGGACCTTAACGATCATTTTTTACCTTCACTCAATATTTATTTATCTATGTATTTTAAAAAAAAAATTCATTCAAAAATATACCAAGATAAAAAAGTGGCTGTGCATGCGCACAAACATACACACACCAAAAAACAACAGACAAAGGACAATTACAAAAACCACATCGAGTCCATTTTATGTCGGCCAACTACTCCTGGGCATGAGCGTGCACTTATAATTCCTGTAAGAAGAGTTTTGTCAAGTCCGCACCTACCTGCTCAGTAAGTCTCCACAAAAAAACAGTGTCAGTCCAAGGAAGAAAACAAGGAAGAGTTTGGGGTCAAATCCTGAAACAAATAAAACATTTGCTTAATAGAAGAATCCATTAAAGGTATTATAGAAGATGACACTGTCATTACAGCCCAACTAAACGGCAGCGTAGGTACGCCACACAAATCCTGGTGCCCTCAAAGAAAACATAATTACCTTTCTGTCTAGCCTGGACTTTCCTGAAGATTTTATCCCTATTTTGGCTTCCTCTGCTAAGGATTTAGCTAAACTGGCTACACACTATGCCGTCATCACTTCACGCTGTTGCTCAGAAGAGGTCCCTGCCATTTGTTTCAGAGCTTTACGTCATTTTCAGGCAGGGACCTGAGACATGGGCTCGTGTCCTCTACCTACCATTTTACTTGCTCAACCACACCTCGCACTTTGCTTCACTATACAGCACTGTGCTGAAAAAGTCAACCTGCTAAACATATCCTACTCAGGACCTGGAGGCCCAAGCAGACCCCTGGCCACCCCATGGTGGAACGCCAGAGTATCCCATGGCTTTCACATTCAAAATCTGAGTGCAAAGAAGGCCTAGAAATGGACAGGAAGTGGGGGATTAGTAAATACAGAAGAAACACCCAAGGACAGTCCAACCTCCATAACCAGCTGTAGCACCACTTACTGGAAGGGCACAATCTCTCTGTAGTAAAGCCTACAGGCATGAGCCCTGAATATAGCCAAGGGAAAACCAAGTCAGGATGTAATGGAATCCACCTCCTCTAACACTTTCTCAGATGCCCACAGAGAAGAAAAAAACTTCCCCCAGATCCAGTAAATAAGCCTTATAGTGATCTTAATCTTTAATTATGATTCTATAACCACTATTTTATGAATTACTAATTTTATACTGTTTAGCTTTCCTGTCTTCAAATATAGTCCTGCATAGAGTAGTACAAGTACCTTTGTCAAGAGGTCTCCAGGAAACATGATTATACTGTCTGACTGACTCCAGGTATCAACTCAGGACCTGCCTGGTTCTAGGCACTGAGTTACTAAAGGAGATTCTTCATTCTAGGCCTAAAGACTCTTATGTGGAGTGGAGTCCTCACAATCTGTTGAGGGCCATGATACAGTCAAGATTGTAATCACAAAGAAAATGGAACTGTCCCAGGCAGACTCTCTGTCTTACTTATTATACCCTCTGAAGCTCTGTCCCCTCTCACTACAGAATCCACCAGAGAAATAGAGGTGAGACTTACTCCGGGTCACAGTGACACTGTACTTGGTGTCCTTCTCTATAATCTCAACCTTGAGGCAGGTTTTTGTGCTGTACAGACCCACGTTAACATAAGTGTCATTCAATTTCTCTTTTAAAAAAGAAGAAAACAAGTTCCAGATACTAAACTGCTCCAGTTCCTTCAGCTTCTCCTCATTGTCCACCTGGGTAACTCGGACCAATTTGGAACTATTTACCCGAACCTGTAACACAAATGACATTAGGATAAAAAAGTAGGAAATTTTCATAAACATAATTTAAAAAAAAAAAACCTTAGACAGCTAATGACCAATGTGCCATTTCACACAAAGCGTAGCAGAAATGTACAGATGCAGCAAAACATAATTTGGCTAATGACACTGGCATTTGGCAAATGATAGAGGCAGCTGCCAGTTTCTTGTTATCATGGTCTGAATCTACTATTAGGCCAGAAAATGGGGGAGAGGAAAGTTCCCAAGCAGAAAGAGTTATCAATACAGCTATTTATGAGATCATACAAAGCAAGGATCAGGAATATTAAGAAAATTGTCAGTCATAAACAGCCCCAGAAAACTTAAAATGTTTCCCATAATGACAGGCTGAGAGTTCAATGCACTGTCACAAATCACTGATTATGGATAAATGTTGGTTATAATGTGCCCCAGATACAGTATAAATTATGTATCAGAAAATAAAAGAAAAAAAAAAAACCACAAGCCCAGCTCTCATGTTGTTCATGTGAACAGCAAACACCCTTATCAGTGTCTGTATTTACAGCAGCATCTTCAAAAGGCTAACCCTGTTCAATCACTATCACAGCCAGAGTCTCTTGCTTGCTGGGTGACTTAACTGTGTTATGAAATAAAAAAGCCCCAAGTCATTCTACCACGAAGAAACTTCTCACACAGAATCAAAATAGAATGGGAACCTCAGGACAAGAGTTCAGATAGGCACACCAGAGTCTAGCCAAAGTAAGCACAAGACATTTCAAAAGAGGCATCAGTGTGCAGACTCCAAAGGGAAGAAGCCAACACAAGGCAGAGGAAGAACATTTACCTCAGGGTCATAGCGCTCTAAGCTGAGATGCCTGGGGCATCTAATTACCTGTATCCGTGTCCATATATCATGCCACTTTGGGATAAGCATATTTTTATAACAGAATTGTTGACTGGAATTCATATCAACTTGAGATTCCTGAAGCATGACCACATTTACATCAATTCCAGCTTTAGGCAAAAAGGGAAACAAGGATTAAGTATAACAGAACAGAACAAGTCCTAACTATAACTCCTTTTATTTAAAGAATTACACTGACCACTCTGTCAAATGTATGCTTAAAATATGAACCAGACCAAAGAACAAAAAACAAACAAAACAAACAAAACACTGAGAGTACAATAAGGCAGTTGTATCTCTCATTTGCATGTGTGCACACACTTGCTCACGTGTGCTTGTTTAGGACTAACCGTAAGATATCAAACATGCTAAACATATGCTCTATCACTGGGTTGCAAGCACAACCTTTTACTATTACCAATAGTCAACATTGCATTAACACAGAGTAGATAAATAAATAAAGCTACTTCTTAGGGGCTGGCTCAGCTGTTAAGAGCACCGACTGCTCTTCCAGAGGTCCTGAGTTCAATTCCCAGCAACCACATGGTGGCTCACAACCATCTGTAATGGGATCAAATGCTGCCTTCTGGTGTGTGTGAAGAGAGCAACAGTGTACTCACATACATAAAATAAAAATAAATAAATCTTTTTTAAAAAAAATTTACGAGAAATCACTCTCCTGTACCTTCCACCTAACCTACCTTCTTTGACATGAACATTTAAATAACATTTTTCTTTGTGGTATTAGAGATTAAACCCAAAACTTCTATTTCTTCATTGAATTTCTGTATCATGCAGAGATTTTTACACTTGTTTTTTGTTGGGGTGAGGGAAGTGTGGGTGTGAACCGTGACTCTCCTTCCATCATGCTGTCCCCAGGTGTCTACCTCTGAGCGTCAGGCGACAGCAGGTACCTGTACCATCTAAGCCATCTCCAAAGCCCTATGCAGAACACTTATCAAATAAGAGTAAGTACAAATTTAATTATCAGTGTGGTTTTTAGTGTAAGGTAGATAGATTTAAATAAGAAAGAAATCCTTAGTCCTGAGGCAGGCAAGGTGGCACACGCTTTATATCCCAGCACTCGGAAGAAGCAGGCTGATCTTTCTGAGTTTGAGGCCAGCCTGGTCTATAGAGTGAGTTTCAGGACAGCCAGACACAGAGAAACTGTCTCAAACAAACCCAAGCCACACCTGCAAGCACTAATGTCCATCTATGTTTAGTTTACTTTGTTGGGGGCCAAAGGACAACTTTCAGGAGCCAGTTCTATTCGTACACCGTACCATCTTAGGTACTTGATTCAGCTTGTCAGATTGGATAGGCAAGCACCTTTACCCACTGAGTCATCCTGACATTTAAAAATCACTTTAAAGTGAAACTAAGACCCTTTTGTTGTTGTTTTGTTGTTGGGTTTTGGTTTTTTGTTTGGTTTTTTTTTGTGATGAGGCCCCAACCTAGGGCTTTCATTGTACATGCTAGGCAAGCACTCTATCACTGAGAGACATCCCCATCACAAGACTGACTTTAAAGTTATATTTAACTGTAAGCATAAGTCTGAGCAAAACATAGAAGACATGGGTATAACTCTCCATGGCCTTGGATTAGACAACGGTTTCTTAGGTAGGATCCTAAAATATTCAGAAGTCATGAAGAAATCCCTAAAGCAAACTTCAGGAAATGTAAAACCACTGCTTCCTACCAGCTCCAGAACAAAGGGAAGAAAAGAGATGGCATGGGAGAAGGGGCTGAGTCAGTAAAGCAAGCACTTCTTGCCTTGCAAGCTCAAGGAACTGAGTTATGAGTTAGATCCTAGAACTCATGAAAAAATGTCAGTGCCGTGCATCTCAGGGGAGAGAGACAACAGGAGGTTCCCAGAGGCTCCCTAGCCAGCCACTTCAGCCTAACTGATGAGCTCAGCCAATGAGAGAGCCCGACTCAAGGAGAGGGACAATGTTCCTAAGGATGATACTTGAGATTGTCCTCTATCCTCCACATAGACTCACACACATACAAGTACCCACACATACATTTGTGCCCACACCCACACCCACACACACGTATACATGTATAAAACTTACAGAGAGAGACCAATGCTTCTGTAATACAAAGAACACAAAGAACATAAACTACCTCAGGAAACAGGAGGAACCATTTTCCAATCACATACTGAACAATAAAAATAGCTGGAATACATAAACAACTATGACAACAATCACCCTTTCGTTTCCTCCCCTGACCCTTTTTGAACCAGTCTCACTACACTGGCCCCATACTTGCTATACAGCTGAAGATAACCTTGAATCCCAGAACCTTCTGCCTCTGTGTCCCAGGGATTACAACTATATGCCATCATACCCAGGCCCAGCCCAGCTCTTTTAACAAACAAAAGATGTGAATAGATATTTCTCCAAAGAAAATACATACATAAATATACATGACAACAGGGCTCAAATCATTACAGAAATAGAAACTGAAACCACAATAAAACACTACTTCACATCTCCTAGAATGGCCACAACCAAACAAATGCTTGGAGCTGGGCATGGTGGCTCATGCTGTTAATCATAGCACAGCACATAGAGGGTAGAAAGTAGATTCCTGTGAGCTAGAGGCCAGACTGTACTACATAGCCAGTCTCAAGCCAGCCAGGGCTACAGAGTGAGTCCCTAACAAAAAAAAAGCTTAGGGCCAGAGACAAGAGTGATTGCTGACTGGTGTGGTGAGCTGCACTGCATCTTCAGGACCCAAATGATGGAAGGTGAGACCTAACTGCAAACTGTCTTCTCCATAGACACTGCGGCACACACACACACACACACACAGAAAGTAAATTTTAAATTTTTTTTTTTTTTTTTAAGAAATTCAGTAATGGGGCTGGAGAGATGACTCAGCAGTCAAAAAGCACTGACTGCTCTTCCAGAGGTCCTGAGTTTAATTCCAGCAACCACATGGTGGCTCACAACCATCTGTAATGGGATCAAATGCTGCCTTCTGGTGTGTGTGAAGAGAGCAACAGTGTACTCATACATAAAATAAATACATAAATCTTAAAAAAAAAGAAAAAAAAATAAAGAAATTAATTCAGTAATAAATGTTAGTTGAGAATATGGAGAAATTAGGAAGCCCTCCCCCATCAAGTACTACTGGCAGGAATGTAAAATGATACAACTGGGTTTTTTTTGGAAAATATTATAGTTTAATAATCCCTTGTACAATTCCAGACAATTGAGAATATGTTCACACAAAACTGTGCACATGAGTGTGTATAAAAATCTGTCGTAGTTTCCTACACAACCACCAAAGAATCAAAAGCCCCAGTGCCTCTCGGCTAACGACAATGGACTACACTCAGCTCAAAGAAAAGTATCAGAGCTGGAGAGACGGCTGGCTGCTGCTGTTAGAGGACCCGGGTTGAAGTCCCAGCACCCACATGTCAGCTCACAGCCATCTAACTCCAGCCACAGGGAATTAAGGGCCTCTCCTGGCATCTCTGGGCACTTGGCACGCACAGGGTGCCCCGACACATGGAAACAGAATGTCCATATGAATATAATGCAGTACAAAGTTTTTAAATTAAAAAATGAAATATTGACACATGCTATGAAATGATGTACCTTAAAAATGTTACATTTTGTAAAAGAAGCCACACAAAAGAAAAAAAGGCCACAAAAAGAAAATGACAAATCAATTTATATAAAATGTCTGGAAGGAGTGAATGTCATGACAAGAGATGCACTGAGCGGCTGCCTGGGACGGGATGGAGAGAAGACAGGAACTGGAGACTGACAACCACAATGATGGTGCAACACTGTGAAAATACAAAAATCCACCGAATAGCATTTATAAATTAATCTCAATTTTAGAAAAGCATGTCTCACATGTGACATCAAAAGGGGAAGGCTGCGGTACACGCACAACGCAAAGGAGCAGGGATTGGGGGAGGAGATCAAACAACAACAACAACTCTAATTCAAGAATGCACAGTGAGACCTAACCCTGTGGGCTAACAAGAACACCTAAAGTCAGATTAGGGTGCCTGTTTCTCTTTACGGGGTTCAATCTTATAATAATCTAAATTTCCTCCAAAAACTCCTTCTAAAAGAAAAAAATGTTTTTTTAAATTCCTGTTGAGTGGCTGGCGAGATGACTCGGCATTAAGATTGCTTACTGCTGCCGGGAGTTGGTGGTGCACGCCTTTAATCCCAGCACTTGGGAGGCAGAGGCAGGCGGATTTCTGAGTTCGAGGCCAGCCTGGTCTACAGAGTGAGTTCCAGGACAGCCAGGGCTATACAGAGAAACCTTGTCTCGAAAAACCAAAAAAAAAAAAAAAAGATTGCTTACTGCTCCTCCAGAAGATTTGAGTTCCGTTCCCAGCATCCTGTGGGACAGCTCACAACCACTCGTGTATACTCGTAAATAGAAAAAATACTTACTCATAAATACCGATCAAGGCATTGCTTCCTTTGGAAGACAAAGTGCAGGCTAGAGAAGATGGCTAAGGCAGTAAAGTGCTTTCCATGCAAGCATGAAGACCAGAGCTCAATCCCCAGAACCCATATCAGAAACCAGCCACGGTGCTCTACAACTACAACCCCAAGCCTGTGGAGGCAAAGACAGGAGCATCCCTGGGACTCACTGACTAGCCAGTCCAGACACTTTGGTGAGCGCCATGTTTAGTGAGAAATTTGTCTCAAAAAATAAGGTATAGTGAGATTTAAAACACTTGACATCAGTCTCTGGCCTGTACATACACATGCACACACACACCACACCACACACACCATTTATGTTGAGCATGGTGGTGCACGGTTATCATCCCAGCTCTTGAGAAACAAAGAAAGGTTGTCAAAGTAAGTCCTAAGGCAACCTACATTACACAGTGACTTTGAAACCAGCTTAAGCTATACAGCAAATCCTACCTTATAAAATAAAAACAGATGGAGTAAGTTCATGTAAAACTTGAAAATATTTTATTTACAACCCATGGAGGACAGATGGCATGGTAACTGACATTCGTCTATAATTCCAGCACACAGGAAGCAGGGGCAGGAACCACTGAAAAGCTGTATTCTTCCTTCCAATAAAGTGAAAGTTCAAAACTAATTTTTTTTAAAAAATGTACATTTTTGAAGAAATAACTCTACTATTAACATTCTTTAAAATCTAGTTTTCTGAGTCGGGCAGTGGTGGCACATGCCTTTAATCTTAGCACTCAGGAGGCAGAGGCAGGCAGATCTCTTTAAGTTCAAGGCCAGCCTGGTCTACAGAGCTAGTTCCAGCACAGCTAGGATGATACCAGAAAAAAACAGTCTCAAAAAACTCAAACATCAAAATAACCTAGTTTTCTTTTCCTTAATTCAAAATTTTAAACAAACTTTTTTCAGATAGTAACCTCCAACAGAAACCAGTACCTTGGCTAGCCACATATGCTTGGCAGTGCATTAATGCAAAACATACTGCCATATCAGCCTGAGGAGAAGGATTTGTGAAAACAACCAGGACTCTAGATTTGTCTATCTGTGTATCAGTGTGTGCATACTCTAGCCTTCAGAGGATCTGGATTGTGAGCCACCTGATGTAGGTGCTAGGAATCAAAACTCAGGTCCTCTCCAGGAGCAATGCACACTCAAGCCCACACCCTTCAGCCCCTTCTAACTCTTAAATACCCTCAATTCATTTCTGTCAAGAGTAATGCAGTCACTCAGAACCTCATTGACAACTGCCATCTTGCTAAGCTTACACTGAATGCTTATGTGTCCCTGCAAGCACGTGTCACTGCACTCCTGTGCAGACAGGCACAAAGGCGCCACAGCATGTGTGGGGAAGTCAGACAACTGGTAGGCGTTCTCTCCTACCATGTAAATCCTGGGGATCAATCTCAGGTTCTCAGGCTTGGCATCAGGCACTTGATCCCTCCTCCCTGAGCTATCTGGCTAGTCCCCAAACTGCCATCTTTCCAGGCTCCAATAGATAGTTCCAAATGTATGATCATGGAGATGGCCCTAGTTACACTCAGTGAGTCATGAGTTTAAACAAAAAGATATGAATGGGGAAGGGACCAGCAGGGACCAGCAGGGACCGGGCAGGGCTGGGGGCCTGGGTAATGGTAATCACTATATACACACTGGGACAAATAACTATTTAAAAAGTAAAATCCATCCAGATGCTCACCTCACACTAAACACAAATACAAATTATAAATAACAAATAGAGAGGCAGGACCACCTAGTAAGACTCTGTTTTCCAAAAAAGTCTAGAATTGTAGTTCAGTGGTAGAGCACTAGCACTGCATGTTTGAGGCCCTAGGTTCAATTTTCAGTTCAGCTAATAATTAGTAAAATAAAAATGTATTTAAAACATATCCTTCAAAAAAAATCAATTCAACTTTACAGATTTCTCTTTATCTTATTATCATTAGTGTGTGTGTGTGTGTGTGTGTGTGTCTGTGTCTGTGTATGTATGTATGTATGTACATACGATATGTGTTCATGTGTTTGCCCACCCTGGCAACTTTGGGGAGTCAGTTATCTCCAATTATAGATTTTATGACTCCAACTCAGGTCACCAGAATCGTGCAGGAAGTCTTGTTTACCCACAGAACCATCTGACTGGCCTGGAAATCTCCTTAAGTATAAATCCAAATAATGAAACCAAATGAGCACATATAAAATATAAAAGGGGGCGGGGGCGAGAGACACTGCTCAGTGGTTAGGAGCACTTGAGGCTCTTACAAAACAATCCAGGTTCATTCCCAGCACCATCTACCCATCTGTAACTTCAGTTCCAAGGATCTGACACCCTCTGCTAACTGTTGTAGGTACCAAGCGCACATACCTACACACAGGCAAAACACACACAAAATAAAGTCAATAAAAAGATTTACAGAGGGGAGGAATATGCTCTAAATTTTATTTTGAAATTATATAAACGTCCTCATAAATGACAATTATAGCACTGGGGATGCACTGGGTAGAGCTCATGCCTGGTGAGGGTCATGTCCTAGATTTCATTTCTAGCACTGCAAAAAATATATATATATTTGTAGTTAGGTATGGTGGCATATGCATGTAAATGCTTATAATCCCAGCACATGGGGGGTATAGACAAGAGGATCAAGAATTAAAAGTCATTCTCTGACACAAAGGGCCAACATGGGCTACAAAAGCCTGGCTCAAAAAATTAAATCATACAGTAGGCCATGAACAAAGGACATACACACCTCAAAATTTAAAGCTGGGGCTGAGGTGTTGGCTCCAGTATGTAAAGTATCTGCTTTGCAAACACCAGGGCCTGAGTTCAGAAGCTGAGCACTCACATAAAAGCCAGTGTTGGTCACCTATAACTCCAATGCTGGGGGCAGAGACAGGATCCAGGGAGATTGCAGCCAGCAGTCTATCCAAATCGCTAAGTTCTAGGCCCACTGGGGGAGCCTGTCTCAAAAATAGGGTCGATAAGAATTGAAACAGACATCAGGTATCAGTCTTTGGCCTATACTTGCATACATGTGCCCATGACCCCTCCTGAATATGCTCATACACACATACATACATACATACATACATACATACATACATACATACACACACACACATACACACTCTAAACTGCAAGGGGTTTGCCTACTTCTTTGTACTAATACTTGCTAAACAGTCTAAAACTTCTGGTGACAAGTTGCCAATCTTTGAATAAAATTCTGCTCTACTCTCTGAGAACCTGGCTTTTAGAGTGTCACAAGATTGCTCTTGACAGCTGACACATAGAACCAGTCAGCATTCTGGAGGATGAGGCAGGAGGTTCATGAGCTACAGGTCAGCAAGAGTTACACAGTGAGTTCCAAAGCAGACTGAGCAAAATGGTAAGACCCGGTCTCGATAAAAAAAAAAAAGGAAGGGAAACAAGCAGAAAAGTGTGCTTCCGCTTACCTTTTTTTTTTTTAACTTATTTTATTATTTGCTTGTTTGTTTGTTTCTGGGTCTATGTGCCTCCAGTTGTCCTGGAACTGTTTACGTAGGTAGACCAGGCTGTCCTCCAACTGGAGAGATGTCCTCCAACTCCCTTGGCCTCCCAAGCACTGAGAGTAAAGTCATGTGCCACTATGACTGGCTTTTTGGCCTTTTGCTCTATGTTTCAATCCCTAGTACCCTGTAAAAGAAATCTCAAAGAAGAGAACTTCTGATTGTGCCTAATATTTTCTTATTTCTTCAAAAACCTGAGGCCTCATTTTAAAAGTCTATTCAGGTAAGTCCTTCCAAATCCTGTTCTGGGCTTTTAGGCCCTGCATCTGGAAAAGAATTTTTCCTGGACATATACGCTCTTCCCAAAAGGAAGTTCTCAGCCCCTTTTCAACAATATGTCTGTGGGTGTTGAGCTATCTTAAAGCCACAAGTGAGAGCAAGTGACAGGCAGGCAGGAACGGAAGGGGGCAGTATGAGCGTGCAAGTGTGCTTATAAGCTCTGGCTGTCTTTATTCTCTGGAGTTGCTACTCCCTCCAGTGGAAGTTTCCAAACATCACTTATTTTCCTGTCCACTATTTAACAAGGAGGAGGGAAAAAAAAAAACTATTTCTTGTAATTTTTTATTTTTTTTCTGGGTGGGGACACAAAATAAGTTTCTCACGCAGTCCGGAGTTGACTTGCCAGCATGCTGGAGGTACAAAATGAATGTGCTTAAAAGAATGAATGAACTTAGGAACGATGTCCTGCTCAAAACTGATGGCCTCTCTATCTTTTCTGGGCAACTGGACTATAATGATGCCAGGTGTCGTTCTCCAGGGCCGTTTAGGAGGAGGGTCTTAACAAGAGGGCGGTGGTAACACACGCCTTTAATCCCAGCACTCAGGAGGCAGAGGCAGGTGGATCTCTTAATTCGGAGGCCGAGCCTGGTCTTCAGAGTGAGTTCCACAACAGTCAGGGCTACACAGAGAAACCTTGTCTTGGAAAAACATTCAGGTGAACTCTATTCCACTGTATGGAGATAGACCTGCTCCTGATGTGTTTTTAGTAAACTGAATGAGTGGGGCGTTTACTTTCTCATGACATATTTCAGGGCGAGACCCAGAAATCCGTTTTAACCCAGAAATTCAAGGGACCCAGCAGCACCACGCAGACCCTAAATGGTTTCTCCCGAGCCCAGGCCTCCCTTCCTGGGGAAAGTTCAGGCCTCCGCCTGACCCGGGCTCTCCAGAGGGCAGCCCCGAAGCCGTCAGTGCGGACCGTCACTGACCCCTGGAGTGTCTCCCTCGGGGCCCCGCCCTGCTCCGAGTAACGGGCCGCACTCTCCGGATGAACCCACTTTTTCCAAATGTAACGCCCTCGCGCCAGGCCCCTGGACAGCCGCTGCCCCACTGGTACCTGAGCCGCAGACTAGGCAGCCGGCGACGACCAAGAGCAGCCACGCGGCACCGCCGCCCCCGGCCCTCCAGCACCGAGGCCGGGGACCAACCGCCGACCACACCACCACTTTGATTCCTCCCGCCATGGTTGCCTCACACCGCCTCCTCCTCGCGTGCCCCTCCTCAGCAACTGTCTCCGAATAGGCAGCGCCAACAGCCAATCAGCTGTGAGACCCGCCCCCACACCCGAGGAGCAGGCGGGGCCTCGCGCGCCCTGCCCTCCCGCGCCCCTAGGAGCCACACCTCCTAACAACGCCAACCCTGGCAGTGAAGACAGGAAGAGCCCGCCCTTTACCCAACCTGCTTCCGTCCGCGGTTTATTTACAAGTGAGATTGATAGAAAGCTTACCCAATAGGAAATCAGAATGGGCGAGGCCTCCTGGACTGAGTGTTTCCATCCAAACGTCGAGTTTCTTCTAGTTTTTCTTTCCTTTCTTCCTCCGTCTTTTTATTACATGCAAGCCAGTGGCAACTCTTTCTTCACGAATAAGGTTCTCCCGTAACCGTTTTTAAAGGTAAAATGATTGACAACCTGTCTCCAAAGTTCTGAAAGATTTCAGCGTAAGTTCAGGAATATTGTGCGTTATCAAGGTATTGACATAAACAACGTTTGAAAATATAGACATTGAGCTGAGATTGTACCTCATTGGTAGAGCACGTTAAGTATGTGTGAGGCTCTGACTTCGATCCCCAGCACTACAAAACAAACAGAAAACACCAAAAAAAAAAGTATTAATTTGGTTTTAGTTTCCTTTTTTTGACTGGAGAAGTAGCCGAAGTATGCACAAGGCCCCAGGTTCCAATCACCAACGTCACAGAAATAATGCACGAGTCACGAGCATTTTTGGTTTTGAAAGGAAACAAGTGATAATTAAGACAAGAGTTTATCGTCTCCATTTGAAAAGAAACCAAGGCTAAGAGAGACAAAGGAAACACAAAAGGGGTTCTGAGTTCAAATCTAAGTTCTTTCTGTGGCTTAGGTGCTTCCCAGCACATGACATAACATTTGCGGTCCAGGCACTGTGTGCATAGCACTTGCAGAAGTTGAAGCACCTAGAAAAAGAGGATCTGAAGATGGGCAAGGGAGAGGTGACTTGTGTTTGTAATCCCATCCCTCGGGAAGCTGAGGCTGAAGGCTTGCTGAGAATTGAAGAGTAGCAAGGATTATATAAAGTTTGGATCCTGAGAACCTGTGTGTGTTATATTATATATATATATATGTATATGTATATGTATATATTTGTGTGTAGACACATGTATACATACACACACACATTTATACATACACAACACACATATAGATGGCCTATTGAGATGGCTCTGTGTATAAAGATGCTTATCACCCAAGCCTTAAGCTCCATTCCCCAGAACCCACATGGTAGGAGAAAACCAACTTCTGCTCCCACAGGACCTCCATACTGACTCTGTGGCACACGGTACCCCACACACAATTAATGGATCACTGATGTAAAAAACTGGGTTTTTGTTTTGTTGTTGTTGTTGTTGTTGTTGTTTGAGACAGGGTTTCTCTATGTAGCCCTGGCTGTCCTGGAACTCACTCTGTAGACCAGGCTGGCCTAAAACTCACAAATCTGCCTGCCTCTGCCTCCCAAGTGCTGGGATTAAAGGCGTGCGCCACCACTGCCTGGCTATAAAAAAAAACCTTCTAGTGTCAAGGTTAACAGGAGGCATGGTGGTCCATATCTGTTTACCCCAGCATTCAGAACACTCAGGTCAGAGGATCACAAATAAGATTAGCTTGCACTGCACACCTAGACCCAACCTCAAAACAAAAACTTACATTAATATAAAACGAGGGGGCGGCTGGTGAGATGGCTCAGTGGTTAAGAGCACTGACTGCTCTTCCAGAGGTCATGAGTTCAAATTCCAGCAACCACATGGTGGCTCACAACCATCTGTAATGATATCTGATACCCTCTTGTGGGGTGTCTGAAGACAGCTACAGTGTACTTATTACATATAATAAATAAATAAAAATTAAATTACTTTCAGAAGTTTTTAAAAAAAATGAAAAGAGGGAAGACTAACAGACTACCCCAGACAAGGGAGCATACATAGACATGAACTAGATGTAATATAATATTATGGATCTTGGAACAAGAAGAAAAAAAAAATCCCGAAGAAACAAAAGATGCTTGCAATGACAAACATAAGTCACCTGTTCCCTGCCCATCATCCGATCCTGCTTTGGTTTGTGTGAGTACTGTACACATTCTCCGCCTGACCTGCAGATGTCAAGCCACGGAGTAGGAAGGAGCCTCATGCACAGGAGAACGTATATTTTGAGCTCAGCAGCTGGATAAATAGAGGCTGCAGAGCTGACCCCACAGTTAAGAGTGGGCACTGCTCTAGCACGACAGAGTTTCTTCCCAGCACCCGCTTCTGGTGGCTCACCGCTTGCTGTAACTCCAGGGGTTCCACCACCCTCTTCTGGCCTCCAAGGGTACTACATTCATAGGCACACATGTCAGGACATAATTGAAAAATTAAAAAAGAAAAAGAAAAATAGAGTAAAACCTTAAGCTTGTTTTTTTCCTTAACGTATGAGTGGTGCATGCTAAGGGCGGCAAGCGAGCCCTATAGATCAGTGGAAGATGCAGATACAGGAGAGAAGATGCAGATACATGGAAAGTCTCCACATCTTTTCAGTGTTCGAGGAAGTCAAAGCTGTTTCTAAAAACTAAATTCTAGCCAGGCGGTGGTGGCACACGCCTTTAATCCCAGCACTTGGGAGGTAGAGGCAGGCGGATTTCTGAGTTCGAGGCCAGCCTGATCTACAGAGTGAGTTCCAGGACAGCCAGGACTAGACAGAGAAACCCTGTCTCAAAAAACAAAACAAAACAAAAAAACTAAATTCTAGCGATGCCCTTGTATACATCATTATACGTGGGTGAAGATGTGTAATGTATACAGATGTGCAAATTTTTAGATAGGGTCTGGCTATATGACCCTGGCTGTTCTGAAGCTTGAATAGATGTAGCTGGCATCAACATTTCAGTGATCCTTCTGACTGTCTGGCAAATGCTGGGAGTACAAGCTTGTCACCACCCTGGCACACCTCACTTTTCTTTCAGGCCCTCCCTCCCTCCCATTTTTCCTTTGTTTCTCTTTCTTGTTTTGCTATGGTTTGTTTGTTTGCTTGTTAGATTTATCTTTATTTCATGTGTATGGGTGTTCTGCCTGCATGTATGTTTGCGCACCACATGTGTGTGATGCGTGTGAAGGTCAGAGAAGGTCTGGATGCGCTGGAACTGAAGTTACAGTTAACTGCCTGCCACATGACGTACAGAACCAAACCAATAGCAACAAGTCCTCCTAAACACCGAACTATCTCTTCAGCCTGGTTTTGTTATTTTATGTGTGTGTGTGTGTGTGTGTGTGTGTGTGTATACATATATATAAGGCCAGTCTGATCTACATAGTGAGTTCCAGGACAGCCAGGGCTACACAGAAAAAACCTGTCTTAAAAAAAAAAAAAAATCCAAAGAGGGGAGAAAAAAAAAAAGAAAGAGAGAAAAGAGCAACCACACGGCCATCTAAGGCATTATGAAAGAAGTTATTTCATATACACAGACACACACACATATATATGGTTTCATGTGCCCCTGGCCATCTCAAGTTTCCTATGTAACTGAGGATGACTGTCAGCTCCTACCCATAGCTCCCCTGTGCTGGGATTGCAGTCACGTGCCACCATACCAGGCCAGGCCTTTCCATTCTCACCGCTGGCTGAGCTTTCTCTTTTGTTCTCGCTAAAGTCAAAAACAGGTGAACTGCTTTCAGGCTTGGGAACTAACTACATCAGATCACTGACCGTTCACCATTGCTAGGATGAGACTAGGTATCTCTAAACACATCACACTCTGTCATCCATTGTTGGCATCTCAAGAGAGCAAGTAAAGCTGTCCATGTCTTTTTTTTTTTTTTTTTTTTTTTTTTTTAATACTAAGAATACTCTTCAAAGCACTTCAGGAGTCACCTTCAGTGTTTCACCAAGCACAGACTACAGTGAATATTCATTATCTGCAGGTGGATCTGATTTATGCAAATAGCCAAAAGAACTCAGGCCAAGGCCGGTGAGTAAATAGTGTGAATACTGTGGTGGTAAACGTTTCAGGTTTGTTTTTAATTTAGAAGGATAACATAGCATACATTCAACCTGCCAGGCGGTGGTGGCACATGCCTCTAATCCCAGCACTCAGGAGGCAGAAGCAGGCAGATCTCTGAGTTCAAGGCCAATCTCAACTACGTAGTAAGTTCCAGGACAGCCAGGGCTACACAGAAAAACCCTGTCTTGGAAAAAATCCAAAGGGGGGAGAGAAAAGAGCAACCACACGGCCATCTAAGGATTATGAAAGAAGTATTTCAGTAATCAGATGTAGAAAGGGGGTGCTGGCAAGCCCGAGAGGGGATGAATGGAGACTGTCCCCTTGCAAGCTGCTAATGTTTTCTGTCATAAGATGACTGGTCAGATTAAATGGGCTTGGTTTGAGGTTTTTTGTTTGTTTCCTTTATGTTTGGGACAACAACAACAACAAAAGTCTCCTACAAGCTAGGCAAGTGCTCTACCAGAAGCTGTATCCCCAGTCCCCAGAACTAGGTTTTATTCCCAAGTAAGTCATGAAAGAAAAAAATCATGTATTGTAACTTTTTGGACGTAGGAATTGGGAAGGTTTGAAGCCATCAACCGTTTGATGAAGTTAACTGAAAAAGGATTGAAGCCGTTGACTGTCTGATGAAGGTAACAGAACCCATCACTGACCGAATCCTACTGCTCCTGTGGTCTCCCTTCTGAGTCTGTCCTGTTCTCCCCTTGCCGCTGGCTCCACCCAGCCCCTTGCCAGCTTCGCTAGCATTTTCCTGTGGGGAAAGGCTTTTACTTTCTTTCAAGCTATCCACCCCCACCCCCCAATTTTTTGAAAATGTTGTTACTTCTTTAAATTTATTTAGGGTAGGGGACACCTATAGAACTCATGTGAGTCACCAGGTTGGAACTTACGTCTTCAGGCTTGGAAGCAGTGACTCTTCTCACTGACACATCTCTCTGCCTCACCCTCTTTGTTAAAACAAACAAACAAACAAACAAACAAAC